GCAATCTTCTCGACAAATAGAACGAAATAATGCATCTTTGAATCTATTTCAAAATTACATCTTGTTTGAATAGAAAATATTTATCTGGGTTTCATTTCATATAGCTATTATTTTTATTTTTATCTTTATTTTCAAAGCAACCGCGATATGATTTCTTCATGCTCGAATGAGATTATTTTTAATATAATAAAAAAAAAACTATTGCATTGCCAGTTATTTGCTATATATACATATATATAGTTTGTAACGTTTATTTCTTCCCCCGCGATCTCGTCACTTTTATATGTATTTATCTATCTATTCCGATAACAAATCATCTCGTGTTGTTTGTTTAAACAACCACGCAAGAGAATCGATTTTATCAAATCCGATATATACGCTTTTCTTTCATGTTTTCATTAGAAGTTCTAGTATAAACACGATCTTAATTTTCCAGTTGATTTTTACAAATATTAATTTCGACCTATATCTAATACTCGATGTCACTGAACAATAAAAAAAAAAAAAAGATAAAAGCAGAAACGAATATCGAGATTGCAATCGCGCAACCCCTTTTTATATCTCATTATCGTCGTCGACAATCTCTTTTTCCAAGTCTAATCATATCCAATTACGATTACTTGTATTGCAACTATTTTCAAGTGACATTTTGAAGAAAATAATGGATTTAAGTAAAATGAAATTGAATGTTAATAGGATATCAAAAGGAACGGGAGTAAAGCATTTCCAACATTTTGAACTATTGTTATTTCACACCGATCCGATAAAACGTATATTCTATACGTCTCTCGCCTTTTCGCCCCAACGCTATCGTTTTTTATAAACGCCGGATGTCAGATATCGCTGATATTCAGTTACGTTCGTCCGAGTTTTGTTGAAAAAAGAAAAATAATGAAAGGAATGTCTATTACAAACCTCGCTTCTGGCTAATCTGACCAGCACAAGTATCTATATTTCCTTCATTGTGTCTGACTTTCGTCGTTAACTCCTTCTCCTATTTTCGTTTCTAAAACTATCTGCAACATTTATTGTAATATTATTTATTGGCATAACATATTCGCATATCTATGTACATACATAAAAATAAACAATTTTATGTTTAAGAAAATCTTATAAAAATTGTAAAATAAAGCAATATTTTTCTAATTTGAAAAACAAATTAAGAAAATAAAGAATATAAAATTTTATTTAAATTCCATATTTTCTCTTTTATAGAGATGTAGAATTGATTTAAATCTCTCTGACTTTATTGCGTTTTCGAAACAAGTATCATTTATTATTTTAACGTTCCGTTCTGAAATAAAATGTTCGAGAATAAACGAGTTACTCTCTCAGATTCGTTACAGTGTATCCATTATTACAGGCGAGCGATTGCAATAAACGAACGGCCTGGTTATTTCGACGAGATCGACCGATCGGTATTCGATCATTTCTCAAAGAGGAACATTGACGAGATCGATACCTCGTTCGATAATTTCTTCAAGCGGAACTTCGACGAGATCGACAGTTCTTTCGGATTTGTCAAGAGGCTCAATAATTATCTGGCAAACAAACAGCGACATTAATTGAAACAGGGAGAAAACGGGAGGAGAGAGAGAGTAACGAAACGAAGGGCGAAGGGAAACAGAAGAGCAGTGAGGAACGTTAGAGAACATGAGAATTGTACACGCTCATTCTATTTTGAAGACCTCATTTAATCTATAAATCTATAAAATTTCACAAGATATTCGATATCGAAAATCATCCCTTTGCCGTCGCTGTTCTTTAATGGCTACAAATTCAAGATCTTCGAACTTACTGCATGCAAAACATAATTGTAAAATGATATTTCAAGCGAAATCAAAACATCTTTGGGCTAATACGATTACATATTATTTGATATAATTTTTCCTTTTTATACGCAGAAAATGTTTTAAACGAAAATTCTAGAGGATGAACTAAGAAAAACATAGTTGTTTTATTTGCAAACTATTAACGATTACTATGTATTTAATATTATAAAAAATATTATAAAAAAATTATAAAAATCTTTATCGAATTCGGTGATGATAAATAAACTTCGGTAATGATAAATAAACTATGATATATATTTCAATTAGTTTTTAAAAAGTTTTTTTTTAACTGAAATTGTTTTATAATATATTTTCTTGTATATATATATATATATATATATATATATATATAGATATTTTACATATTATATATTTAATATATAGAACAACGTTAACAATAATATATATTCTCAAAGTATTTAATACTAAAAGTTAAATACTGACAGTCAGGCCTATCACAAATTTTGTATAATAAAAATAGAATCCGTAATCAGTAGGACATTCATTAGTTCATCCTTCTATGAATCAAACAAAATTGAAAAAAGTTAGGAAACTTTATTAAATCCTTAATTACATCCACGGACGTTTTCTGCAAAATCTACAAAATTGTTTAAAATGCATGAAAATGGATTAGTTACCATTTATTCCAAAGTATAGTCGTTAAATAAAATAAGATAATTGAATTTACTTCCAAAATAGTTTTACATATTCTCACTGTGAGTCTTCACTTTTCAAAACACGTTGCGTCGTTAAAATAACTAACTTACCTCCAGATATAAACGGCGTGTATATATAACGACGTTAATGTATAATTAATTGTATATTAATTCAATTCAAATGTGTGAATCTCAGAATTATATGACGCAAACTTGAATACTCAAACTGACTAAATGTTAAGAAGAAAAATAGCTGGGATGTAAACATATAATATATCGTCCCTCTTCAAAAAAATTCGTCCGAGAAATAGCTTCAATTCAATGAAAATACTCGAAATATTTTTATTTCTAAAACATAATTCCAACAAAGATATTCCTTCTCTCTTTGTAATTTAAAAACAATTTAAAATTTTCGTCATTTTGACGAAATTTGACGAATTAGAGATCAAATTAAATGTATCATGTGATTTGTCCTCTCTATTCGTATGTCATTCTGTAAATGTAAATGTACCTAAATAAAGAGAATGTTAATAAATTCCTGGCTGAAGAGGTGACCTAAGAAGGTTGCAAATGTCAGTCACAAAAATATTTAAAAAATATAATTTTTTAAGTGCTTTTAAAAAGAAAAGCATAAAATCTTTTGTTAGATACAATAGTTTTTTGTTTAATATAAATATTTAATATAAATAGCATGCAAATATGTTTTGTTTTATTATATATTTGGTGCTGCTATTTTGTACTACTATGTATTATAGCCTATTTTAATGAATAATTATTTCTTAAAAATATGACATTTGCAGTCTTTTTATCTTCATTCATCATTTCTCTTCATACTCCTATTACATATATATTTGTATATATAAATTTCAAGATTAAAAAAAATCAATTTTTTAATACAATTGTAGTATTCTATACAATAAATATAATATGTCAACTACATAGAAGTATCTTTTCAAACACAAAAAACATTTGTTTATCTATTTGTCTTATTTTACAATCACAATTTTTTGCGTTTTTGTAAACAAAGACAATCATCACAAAAAAAGAAATCAAAAGGAATAATAAAACTAAACAAAAAAAAAAAAAAAAATAAGATACAACAGGTTTAATCGACAATCATTCTAAGTTGCACTTCCAGGAGGGTCGGAAGCCAATAGCCTTTTCATCAGTTGCAGGTCTCGGATCATTCAATAATTGCACTTCCGGATAAGCGGGTGTACGTGGTCGTTCTTGTCTCTCAGGCATTGTTACGTTTGAGAGATTAGCGATTTCGTATGACTGCGACTTAAGAAACCTCGAATTTGTGATAAAATTGTGCGGTTGAGAATCCTTTGATCCTATAGAAGCATTTGTTGATATCCGCAACTTCTTCGGTGTTCGCGGAGGATCTGATAGCTGTGGTTGTTGCTGCGATTGTCCCTTTCTCGCCGTCATGAGGAGATTCTTCACTTCCTCATTGATGTCAGTTGGTGTCTCAATTCGCACGCTCTTCATATTGTGATTCATTCGTACTAGCTAAGAAAACAACACCTTTAATTAGATATTACATCTTGTAAACAAATTTAAATATAAATTTCAGTATACGACTTCAGAATGAATCTTAAATTTATTGAAATTTTTGTTTCTTATAAGAGTCCAATAACATATATAACAATCCTGACACAAGAAATCAATATGTTTCGATGATTTAGATAATATTTTACATGTGATATTAGAATTAAACTGTGAACAGTTAATAAAAGAATTTTTTACTTTTTTAAAATAAATATTCAAATCAATTTAGTAATATATATTCTAGAATTTTATCTAATAATTTTATAATATTTTTTTATTTTTTAGCTGTTTTAATTTGCAAGAATTATTCCAAGAGAGAGGAAAGAATTTCAATAAAATTCAGTACTTCTTAAATTAAAAATAAAAATTTGGTCATTTATTTATTTAATCGTTAAAATAACTACACCTCGATCAACTCTTCCTCCAGTTTAGAATAACGTCGCAGTAACAGGCCTACTTTCGAACTCAGATTTGTTAAGTGATCAGTAATAAACAATTCTTTGGCAATGTCCTCCTTCATCTGTACGAACAATTTTATTAAAAATTACTATGTTGTATTATTTAATTGTATTATTTAATTGTAAAGATAATTTAAAATACCTGATCCATTCCTTCGGATACTTTCGAGCTGATGTAATCGAGGCTCGCACGTGATTCAGAAATCTATTAAATAGCAACGTATTACTTGAAATATATTATAAAAATTAATTTCATGCAAGATAAATATTTCAACTAAACATATGCATGTCATAAATTAAAGAAAATGTAATGTATCATTTGGTTTTGCGTGGAATGTATTACGATTGAATTAAATCTATCGGCTTCGGCCATGATCTGATAATGTGCTCTCATCACTCGGAAAAACTGAAATGTTATTGAAATTATTTACATATATAATTGAGCGGTATTTATTAAATATAAATAATTAAATTATAATAATTAAATTATAATAAACTATATATTTATTTCAGGGATTTAAATATGACAGATATCTTTATTTTTTTAATAAAAAGATATATAAAAAATATTCCTATGTTTATATAAATTATATAAAATATATAAAAGTAATGTTAAATGTGACTTACGCGTTGACACATGTACAACACAACTGTCGCGTTTATCATCGCAAAGATTATGCTAGTAAAAAAGCGATATATCATATACATGATTATCTTTATCGAATATCACGACTAAAAGCAATTTTGTTCAATTAACTTGAATATTACAATCGTTTTTTGACAATGTTAAGAAATAACGAATTAAAAATTTTTCTCTATTTGCATAACAATCTGCCAAAAATTCCAGATTCAGCTGAAGTTTGACGAAGATAATCAAAAACGAGTTATTGCGAGAAAATGAGATAATCATTCATATTAATAATATCAAATTAATATTTATATTAACATTTTAATTAATAAATATATATAATAATATTTAATAAAACAATATTTCAAAAAAAAAAAATAAAATTCAACATACAAACAAAAACTAAATTAGAGACAACAAATTAAGCTAAAAATTTCGTTTTAAATATCTACACTAATTAAATCAAGTGAGTCAATTCGAATTTACCGGAAGTTACTTATAAACAGGTGAGTTGTTTAATTCATCGATAAATTAATCGCATTATGCGCAAACGTTGCTTTTACAGAGCCTAATTTCATCATATTACGTTCAAAGAAAAATAATATTTATTATTAATAATAATGTAAAATAGAATAATCCTAAGAGAATAATAAAAATAATATGATATAAGGTAATATAAAATGACGATATGCAAGTATTTAATAAAAGAAGAATATCGAGAAAAATTCAGACGGCGCAACGGGCGGAAAGAGCGGATCTCAGCGATAACTTCGCGAAATGCGGTGACTTTCGTCCCGTTGGTAGCGCCCGGCGGCGAGATCTCAGGTTGGCGGCACTGTGCTGTCAGAGTGCATTCGAGTGTCCGTCGGGCAGCGAGCGCGCAGTGGTGAGACACTGTGCGCGACAGTGCGTGCGTGCGTGCGCGTCCCGCCCGTGGTATCAGCAAAAATATGCAAAAGTATGAGAAGCTCGGAAAATAGGAGAAGGTGAGAGCTGTTCGCGGGACCAGAGTCGCGGGAGACGAACGTCATCCGGTGCGACGCGCCGCGCCTCCCCCCTTTCCTCTTCCTCCCTCGCCGCGGTGTGCGTCGCGCGACTTCCTCCTCCTCCTTCTCCTCCTTCTCCTTCTCCCCCTCCTCGTTCATTCTGTCAACACAACGTCGAAGACCGCGCTGTACGCTACTAATCCTCTCCGATTGGAATTTCTTTTCTTTCCAGGCACTTATGGCACCGTATTCAAAGCCAAGAATCGCGAGACACACGAAATCGTCGCGCTGAAGCGGGTGCGACTGGATGATGACGATGAAGTAGGTAGTGCTCTCCCCCCCCCCTCCCCTCTGGATCTGTCCCTCTTTCTCTTCTTTTTTTTCCTTTCTTTTTCTTTCTTTCTCCCCTCGCGCGAACCCTTCGTCGTAATCCCCACCTGTTGTTTTGCCGCGACACCGGCGTTCCGATTAATCTAATTAATCGATCGCTCGCGCGCTTTATTTATAACGCGACGCTCGCCTCGTGTCACGTCGAAAATAATTCTCACGACGAAGGCCGGCGCGCGGGTCTCCTTGATATCAACATCTTATCGCTCGTGTGCTCTTTATATTATCCAAGGGTGTACCGTCGTCAGCTCTACGGGAGATCTGTCTTCTGAAGGAACTCAAGCATAAAAATATAGTTCGTCTCTATGACGTGCTGCACAGCGACAAGAAGCTCACCTTGGTGTTTGAGCACTGCGATCAAGATCTCAAGAAGTACTTCGACAGTCTGAATGGCGAGATTGATTTGGATGTCGTTAAATCATTCCTGTAAGGCACTTATTTTGAAATTCATTTAGCAAAATGTAATTGTAAATTCATATTTTTTTCAGATATCAATTGTTAAGAGGACTAGCTTTCTGTCACAGCCGAAATGTTCTGCACAGAGATCTCAAACCACAGAACTTACTCATCAATAAGGTAAAGTTGCAATAGTTTCTACATTAATATTTAATACATCTTAATTCTCTTAAGAAAAAAAAATCTCTTGTCTTATAATTTTTTATAACTATTTATTATACATTTATATATTGAATTAAACAGATAATTATTCACAGAACGGGGAACTGAAGCTCGCAGATTTTGGATTAGCAAGAGCATTCGGTATTCCTGTAAAATGTTACTCGGCGGAAGTTGTTACATTATGGTACCGTCCCCCAGATGTTCTTTTCGGAGCGAAATTATATACAACGTCCATTGACATGTGGAGCGCGGGATGTATATTTGCCGGTAATTGTTTCATGATTATTTCCTCTCTGAAAAGATTTAGTCGATTATTGACAAAATTTTTTATATGTACAACACGCACACATATTCAAGAATATGTGTGCTTTTAAAAAGTGAAATTAATTCCAAGTTCTTCTTTAAAACAAATTATTAATTTTTCTTTTGTAATATGAAGCAAAATACTAATGTTTTGTCTCTCAATATATCATAGAATTAGCGAATGCCGGCAGACCGCTCTTTCCCGGATCGGATGTAGATGATCAATTGAAAAGAATATTCAAAATGCTGGGTACACCAACCGAGGAGACATGGCCAGATCTAACGACACTTCCTGACTACAAACCATTCCCACAATACCATCCCACACAAGGACTAGCGCAGGTTACACCTAAACTCACTTCAAGAGGCAAAGACTTACTCCAGGTAAATCATCATTTATTTGAATTATTGAAACAGCATAATAGCAAAACATAAATGCAGGTATCTAGCTTATAGAAAATATATTATTCGAACAATATAATTTAATTTACAATTAAACTACTCTGTAAATATTAATAAATCTATAATGATCTAACGATTTAATAAACAAAGAAAAATGCAAAATAAAAGACATAATGAGACTAGAGTGCTAATAATTTAGAGTGATCAAAATATAAATATCTATGCAGTAAATGACAGCGAAAATAATGTCAACAGCGTTACTTGATACATGTATGTGTATATACAAAAGAAATTAAGTCTCAAGATCGCGATTCAAGAATTGATTTAAAAAGATCGAAAATATTATACAAATAAAAATCTCTAAAAAAAGGTAGAAAATTGTTTTTGTAAAGGTCTTGTGTCTTTGAAAATAGAAAATATATCGAAAAATCACATTATAAAAAAACAATCTTTTAGAAGTATAAGCATTAGCAATATAAGCTCTTTTATATGAAATCGCGAATTGTTTTTGATTGTATGATATCTGATTGATGTATAGAGATTATTAGTGTGTAATCCGGCCCTACGATTGTCGGCGGAGGAAGCGATGACACATCCGTACTTCAACGACTTGAACCCTGCCATAAAAAACGACCGATGCCAATAGCGAGTCATTCCTCTTAGCTTAAACCGACCGAAAGCATGCCATGGCGCGTACGAAGCGCAGCGATCAAAAAGTGGAAAAGAAAACGCTTTGGCAATGATCATTTGTTAATATATATATAAAATGAATTTGGATGATCACCCCGCGAGAAGAAGACACCGACTAGTCCTGTCGTTTTACAATGATGACAAGGAAGAATCGATAAATCGTTAATTTTACTAGCTGACGGCAACTTCTTCGTATCGAAAGTAAAAATTCTACGGTCGACGGAAAGGAAAGATGCGACAGTTAATTCGCTATCCAAGTCGCGACTGACGAATATGAGAATTTTATGCGAGTTTGAGTAGCATATTAAGCGCAATTTATTTATTATTAAATAATTATATCAATAAATCGATATCTTAAATAAGCCTTACTTATTGATCTTATCTCCCCCCCTTCCCCATCCTAATTATGTCCACTTTCTACATCGCATCGAAATGAAATCTGTGCGCTTCCTGGAGTTTCTCAATTTTGTCTTCTCTTCTCTCTTTCCAATATAAACCGAGAATCATAGTCGTAATCAAACCACAAGTGCCAGATAAGGCGGCTACACTTAACAAAATCAACTTGCTGGGCGTGACGAACAGTTGGGCCTTCCATCTCGATGGTTCGGCGATAGGATTTGGTATCACGACCATCTGAGAATTAGGAATGATCTGTGGCCACTCGCGTGACTTGCCGCCAACCTGAAAAAGAAAAAAGATATATTTTTCAAAAATATTCTATAATGTTCAAAATTTTATCAAAATCAAGTTATATCAGAACTACTTAATATTACAAATGATCAACTAATGTGTATACACATGTATCATCTAAAATCATAATTCTATTTAGTAAAATAGAAAATGAAGCTTCTTCATTCTCAAAAAAATTTAGTCTTGATTCACATTAATGTAACTAATCTTGAAAGTCAAGTATTTCTATGTATTTGTATACGTACCCCTATCGTAAGAGCGTCCACAAAATTGGGCGTTCTTCCTAAACCGAAGGTGGTGTACGGCAAATTAAGCGAAAAATGTGCACTTTGAGGTAACTGTGCAGCAATCGCATTGCGAGGACTGCCGTCCTGTGTGGTGGTTCTATATGCGATTGATGGTCCTGGCAGATTGGTACCATAGGTTCTTTTTTTCTTGCCGAGCGAACCTGGCGAAATGGGATACATACTGTTGGTACGTCCAGTGAGCACCATTACCTTAACGAAATTAGCGTCATAATCCAGACTGTTCTTGAACGCCGCGGTGCGATAGACGTTGTCTGTCTTGTTGAACTCGACCAGAATCACATCGAGAATACCGTCCTGATAGAAGTCATAGAACACCGCCATCGCGGTTTTATTGTAGAATGGGTTCAATGCTTGCCATTTGACTTCAAAGGTACGATTGAAACCGGCACAATTGTTGCACGCCACATTCTGCAATAGAAACGATTGCGCGTGTTTTGTGGATTGCAGAGTCGCTAGTAGATCCGGATAACCATCCATGTTGAAATCACCACCGCGTAAAGTAATGGTCTCCGTGTAACGCTGACCATTGGGCTTCACAAAACCCCACAGGACGTTATTGGGGTCGCGGAAATTCACTTGCAAATTGTGCCAGCCATTTAAGTACATCATTATCGCGCAATTGGTGCAGGTTTCATCTAAGCATAATGGCAAAAGAAGAGCCATTTTTCCAGTAAGCTCAACATCTAGATAAAGAGTCTGTCCGATTTCCCCTTTAAAATGTTCATCGACTGATATATTATACGGGAGATCAATGTAGTGGGAAAAATTGAATCCTTGCTCCGTACCCAACCATATCTCGAAGTACTTTGTCGTGGTCACTACAAGATCTGGTAAAAAATCGCTGTTTAAATCCAGAAAGGCATTTGAATGTGGATTTCTTACAGGCTCTAGCTCATGCTCTAACTTCGTACTACTCTCTTTACGCATGTAGATTTTAGTTGGATCGGTCCTGTTCTCATTGAATACCCAATACACCCTTTTACCATGCTTGTCCACTCCGAAAAGATCAATTATCATGTCTTGATTATAATCAAATGCTAGTGGCTCATTGTGCATTTCTATAGGTGGCTTCCACTCGTTGCTGCAGTTCAAATGACCGTTTCCACCCCATAATATGTGCGCATTGATGAGCTTCTTCTCGCGGTTGAACGTTGTCACCAAGATGTCCATAAAAACATCACCGTCAAAGTCACCCGGTACCACGCTAGTCACATTGTCCCTGAATGAGCAATGTAGATCCGGCGCAGGGCGCAGCAGAGGTTCCTGCTCAGCCGCCAGGAATATTTCCACCGTCTTACCATCTTTACGCAGCATGAACACGTCTGTCAGTTCGTCGGAATTGAAATCACCGAACGCCGCTGGCATACCATCCAGCACGTTTCCGAACACAGCGGGCGTTATGTCGCTGCATCTCGCCGCCGAGACGAGTGTGACAAGGCAGATGAATGTTCGAAACCACAACATAATTTACATCCCAACGAATTACCTATAACAAATATGTATTTTAATATGCAAACTAACAGAATAAATATCACTTTACTGCACCACTATATTAAGATTTTCTTTATATAAATATTTGAAAAAATGTTTTAATATCAAAAATATATAAAATGGATAATTAGCTTTTTAATTTATATATAATTATAAATTCAATAATTAACTTTGCCTTTGCTATCAAATATATGTCATTTGCTTTCAAATATGCCTATTTTTTAACAAATGCTTGCAATATAACTAGCTAAAGTTAAAACATTGGGCACCAAGATCTAGTCATGATCAAATATATCTTGTATATTTAAAAAATTTTCTTTTACTTTCGCCAAACTTCAAACATATATCTATTTTATATCAAATATGAGTTTATATTAATTTACTTATAAAAAATAAACATATAGACAATCTAATATATATACAAATATTATATATTATATATTTTGCTATTAAATCTAACAAAGCTCTCTGAATCGAAACAATAACAAAAACTTGAATTAATTTTATTTTGTATAAAATAATATATTATAGTACTGAAAATAACAAAGATAGCAGAATTGTTCTTAAGATCTTTAAATTACAAATCAGTATTGTAGAAAATTACCGATTATTCCATCGATATTGTTGTAGTACAATACATCAATATCAGTCCTTCGAAAGTAGGTTTTATAAGATTAAACAAATATATTTCAACAAATCAGTAATTTCAAAGGAAATTATGTAATTGATTTAAACTGCTAATAATAATGGTTTGCTCGCAATTTTACAATTGTGATGAACAATAATACGAAACAGGTGACATCATTTTTTGATCTCTATGCATTTAACCTAAAAATAGTATGAAAGTCGCAAACGAATGCAAGCAACGGAATAAAGTAATAATTTTCTACAGTGCTTGTACTTACGTTTATAAATTACAATAACAAAAAAATGTAACGGACTTTGATAAACGAATAAGTATATTCCAAGAATGTACTACGTTGTGCAACGCACAAGCCAGCTCACTGTGTCCAACATATCTGACAACCAAATATATATACACGGTGTCGCAAAAACAGCTCCCCCGATGACGTGTATCTAAATTTCATACCTGTGTATATTTAAAATGACAAGTTTATCATTAAAAATCAATAATCTTGTGCAAAATTCGTAATTATAAAATTTAAACAACTCATAATATATTAATTTTATGATTTATCATTATTCTGATGTTTCTGAATATATATATATTTATGAGTATATGTGTATATAACATTTAATTTTATTTTTAGCAGTTTTAAATGAAATTGATGAATGAATTTTTATTGTTATTGTTCGTGTTAGATTATCAATACGGGTTAACTGTAGAAAAAATATAATTGTAAATGTAATATCAATATTATATATTAATTTTGCAAATTATATATATATATATATATATATATATATATAAAATCTGTATAATAATCATATCTGTAATAATAATCATGAATTTATTAATAATATATTGTTAATTATTTGTGTCGGTGATCAAAACCTACATAGCAAAAATATTCAAAATATATCACAGCATTCTAAAGATATTGTATCTTTAAGATATCCCTATGATATATTTTGGACATGTTTGTTATGGGAAAATTTCTATTAATAATTGATAATATCAAATACATCTTGTTGTAAAATATATTTTTTAATAAAACTATAATAATAAATAACCAACAATAATTTATTATATCTTAAATGATATTTTATTTACTTGCAGTTCTATTATCACATATATTTTACAATCCCAACAATAAAAACATGTTGTAACATCGCGAAATGGGTCGTGTATCGTCTTTATGTACATTGTGTATAAATATTTGTATAAAAATATGAGTTTATGAAATTTTGCATTAAATTACTTTATCATCTAGCGTTAGGTAACTTCCTTGTTGCATCTTTTGCCGAATCTGCTTTCAAATCAATTTACATTCATTGTTGTATTAATCGCGTTACAGAGTAATTGCGGTAATTTTCAATTGACATTTTATATGAAAATTTGCACACTCGTGACAGTTAGGAATAAATGTTCGCGAACACTTTGGCATTTTTTTCTTATTAGAGTAACGCGAGATTTTATTTTAACATTATATATAAAAAGAAAAAAACGCTACTTGTCGAAGGCACTTTTTTAGATACACGATCACAGTCCACTCATATCGATTTTCATCCCTTCTATTAACAATTAAATGTATGCTGCTACCTAAATCTCCAAAGTTTTTGTATAAAAGCGCAAAACGAATAAGCCAACAAACATTTTAAACAAATATTATTTAATGATTCATTCAATTTTCAGACAAATCGATCGTTTTAGACTCATCTTCGCAAGAATGAGTTTTACACCATTACGTATTTTTCAGGTATAATGATCAATAATAATGTCGATTACATCAAATATATAGCCTCGATACTGTACTCGAGACTGTACAGAAAATATTACATATTAGAATTGTTGTTCAGTTTGTGCAGCTTAAGAGAGACTTATCGATTATGAGAAAAATGCATTCTACTATACAAGTGCGAATTATCGGTTTGACAATTTTTTTATTTTAATATGGAGGTAATGATCTGTTTTTGTCCTTCGTAAACGTTATATAAATAATTACGAATAGTAACTCATCTAATATCTAATAACTTAATACGGCTTCTACGCACAGATATCTACAATATGTATAGACACCATTATTGTATTGTACACATTGTGCTGTTCACAACGCCTGAATTATGGATAAAGACCTCTAGTCTTTTCCTAACCGCATGACGAAATTGGGAACATTATTTTCATTCCTTTTATCCAGGCCACACATGCAAATACAACATGGCAGTAGTTATAATAAAAAGTGATGTACTAAAGGAAGATGAACGATCTTTGCTCTAATACTGCTGCCACAAGTTTGTCAAACTACAGACACGAAAGCTACCTTGAAGATAAGCGTCGAAGAGCACTACGATAGACCCTTTCCCGGCATAATCGCGATAAATCTACTCAAATCTATCGTACAAATCTTATATATATTCCATCTCCATCATAAAATAAAGTGATCAATGTGCTGTTACAAAATGGAAGACTGAGATTAATAAATTTTGTTCGCATGTGAAACAGCCACAGAACTTGAATTTATGGAGCATTGATTGCGCAAATCGAAATTTACATTTATCGAGATATGCAATTGATATTGATCATTGATCTTTGAGTCGAAAAGTTGAAGTTAACGTTACGCGAATAACATCATATATCACAAATAGATTTATAACGTCGCGTAGAATTCAGACTATTTCTCTCTTACTCGCATAGCCAAGCGATATAATGATATATAATTTAATTCGGACTTTAATTATATAGATCGTTTTTGATACATAATTAAGAAACAATTTCGTGGCTGTCACTTTTGTAATCTCATTAAAATCATACTTTATTTGTTGTCATGACATTTTCAGTAAGTTTATGAAAATTCGCTTATCTGCAAGTAATAGTTTTCACTTCTTTATTCCTTTTGAGAATCATCTCTCCTATCATTTCTCTAGTTAGCAAATTCTTAAAGTGCGACTTTCTAATCCTACATAATACGCGAATTATGTAAAAATGGATAAATTATAAAATACAACAAACGACGCGAACCAAAGCTTATAACAGTAGCTCGGTTATGAGTATATTTTATACATGGATCTGTCTCTCCCTCCCTCTCCCTTTCTCTCTCTTTTTCACACACATACAATCTCTTTCACTTGAAACACACGAAATAATATTAAGCAATAATATAAAGCAATTGGTATAACCTTTGCAATCAAATACAAAAGTACGAAGATTTACAATGTGCATCGCGCAATTATCATGACAAATTTTGTATCTTCACAGTAAAAAAAAGAAAAATACAATTCTGAGATTAACTTAAATGTCTTAATGTATCTTGTTTGTTTTGAATAATTAAATAATAGGGAGGGAATGAATGTGCATAAACAGAAATGGCCAAGTGGACACAATCGTCACGTCGTCAGTGTCGATTTCCTGGTATCACCACTGATCTTATTGATAAAATATTCATGTCAATGTTGAGTCTCATTGACGATTCTTACACCGTCTAATTGATTTTTCTCGTTCTTATCGTCATCCTTATCTGGATTGTCCCATGGTTGCCTTTGACCCGAACCGAAAACTACATAGAATGTCGCACATAGGAAATAAATACCAGCGCAGATCATGAATACAATTCTCCATTTTGCTTGCGATGGCTGAAAATAATACCGCCATATAAATACCATCACTCATATTTTCAATTAATTAATCTAGTTTTCAATTAGTTAATACATATTTAAAGAACTCATCATATATATTTACCGATTTATCAATAATCTCTCCGACAGTAATCGGCGCGAGAAGCCCAGCAAGATTGGCAATACAATTTGTGAAGGACATTAAAATCCCAGCAAACCTTGGAGAGATGTCAAGGTGATTTACTTTAAAACCGGAATAAATAGCACCATTCAAACCAACTCCAATTGTGATGACGGTTACTGTCAACCAAGGATTGCAACCGGTGTATGAAGCAGCAATCAGTGCTATGCCCGGTGCATACTGGCCAATGCTGTTGATGATCTTACGGGTCGTAGTGTGAGTAAATCTTCCCGAAGTGATCATCCAATCGGCAACGTGAGAAATAAACATAGAAAAGAGCCACATGGCGAGATACGGAAGTGCCGAAAAGAAACCATTCTGAAATATACAGATGTGAATGATTAATTTTGTCCGAAATATATAGGATACTATTGAGAAGTTCTCTTTTCTCTTATTTAAATATGTGTCGTATTAATATATTACTCACATTTTTAATACTAAAATGAAGAATCTGTTTCATGAATGTTGGAAGTTGAGTCATCAATGTTTCATAACCATAATTCTGGCCCATATGCGCCATCAAGATAGCCCAAAATGGTAGTGAAGTTGCAATAGATTTCCATGGAACAGGAGGCGATGACTAAAAGAAGAAAGAATATTAGATTTTATTAGTTTTGCTATTAAAAAAAAATTTGTTACAAGAAATAACAGATTAAAATAAAAATGTTATTAATGTTACAATAATTAAAAAGTGTGGAAAAAAAACTCACAGATATGCCGGCACTACCCCAGAGAGAACTAAGTATATATTTCTTTTCTTCTTCTGTAATAGTTGGATGTTGCTCAGGATCTTCGTAAACCCATATGAGGAATGCTATACACCAAATGGTACCGATAATACCAAACACGTAGAAAATAGAGGGCCAACCACCTACTAATTTCCAATCAGCCAATAAACCGCTTAACGGCATGGAGATTACCGTACCAAACTGTGCACCTATTGATGGGAAGAGAGAAAAATGCAAAAAAAGAAGTGCGATTAGTGATTATCATCAAGTGTCCGGTCCTCCTAATGCTTTTTTTTTACCAACGAAAGAAAACCTTCTTTGAGTAAATGGTTAAAAAAAAAAGATAACTCAAGATATTGAAAAGGTCCACGGTCCACGGTCCACAAATCCCGTTGCAGCAAGAAGCGACTCGATGCATCGAAATGCCCCATAGAGAGGAGGACTCGCGCAGTGAATTAGCTCTCAACCCGGTACTCTCGACACGCGATAAATCGCTATATAAGAAAGCAAGAAATCGCATTGAACGAGCTTACCGGCATAGACAAAGGCACCCATCCTGCTCCGTTCGTTAGGTGGTATCCACTTCGCCAGCAGTGCATGCGTGCAAGGCACAATAGGACCCTGCAATAGGGATTAATCCATTCCTAGGGGGGGAAGGAAATACACCCGTACTATCAAAAAACGTTCACACTCAAATGGATCAGTAATCTTTTTAAGCTTAAGACTAAAACTACATTATATTATTATTATTATTATATTATATATTATCATTATCATTATTACTAATTATTATTATTACTAATATCTATCTCTGAAAATAAAAAGAGATTCTTATCTTAAAGACTCTCCTTAATTAATTATAAAATCTTTCATTAATAATAATCATAAAAATCATAAATAATTCATTAAATTTAAATAAAAGTAGAAGATAAGAATTAAAACAAACGGCACAATGCCATTAAAATAAATATAACACTTTTAAAATAAATAAATATGTATATCTCTATTAAATATTTTTTCTATGTTAATTCATAAACTCTTTATACTTACAAACGAAAGTTGGAAAGTATTGAGAGAACCAATACAAGAGATAACCGATCCCGAAACACTCATTCTCATCTTCGCTCGCTCTTCACGGATCTCAATCAAACTATTGTGTTACGAAAGTAAAAGATCTTCAAGATGTTACTTACCTCTCCTAAACCCTGAATAAATCGAATGGTCATCAGCCACCAATATCCCCAATCCGCAGATATTGGGACCAGCAGTCCGAAAACCGAATTGATCAGCATGCCGATTCCGAGGAAATATTTGGCGCCATAGCGCTTGGCAAGTATACCGAATGGTATCTGCGTGATAACGTAGCCCCAAAAGAATGAACTTAGCAGGTAGCCTTGTTCCTTGCTGTTCCATGGAAATGGCCCATCGGCACTCTATAAAAATATGACGTGTATTTTTGAGTACTTTCTTCCATAAAATCCAGCACAATTTCTTAAAAAAAAAAAAAAATCGCATAATTTCGTATACTCACACGTTGGGTAGCGTCGGTTTCATTGGTGATAAGCTGTCCGCATTCATTCACCTCTTTTATCACCTCCTCGTTGTCCGTACTGGCCGTATGATTGACCATCGCGACGATAGCCACAGACATGTTGGTCCGCATTATGTAGGCATTCGCCATACCGAAGAATATCATTAAAGTCACCATGTGACGTTTCCCCAATCGAACTGAAAAAAATAAAGAAACAGATTATAAGCTATTGTATTGCGGTATCAACAAAGGCGAAATTCTATGTAGCATATCATATCATAGAAGCTTTCAGAAGAACATTCTAAACTTGTATTAATTTCAATTACAAATTGAAAGTTAATTATTTTTTTTTGTTGTAGAGATAATTGTTGTAGATATTATTTTTTTAAATATGATAGAATATTATTTATACCGTAACTTTAGGATTATTTTTCATTAAAAATAATTGCTTAACTGGACATTAAATTAAAATTTTAAGTTTTAGTTACTTCTATTCGAGAAAAACTCTGCTTGAGCAAAAGCAAAGGATTTACGGAATATGTTATTACATTTAAGGGCGGATGTCCCTAAACGTTACATTATACGTTGTGTTATGTAACATTATACTATGCCTAGAATACATATATCCTCTAAATATTCCTACGAATAATCGAATAAAGACCAAGTATGACATCGTTAATTGGTACTCCCGAGATATTCGCCGGAGCATGTCCTGTAACTGTCTATTAGCAGATCTCTCTGCCAAATTTTCACGGAAATAACCGAAGGACAAATCGCGGGACCAATGCCGAGGTGAGGGTTACGCCAAAAGAGATTATGACGCGAATTAATTGAGCCATCAACGGAAACGCTAATAAATATTAACATACATAAAAGCCATCACGTGACGACGTCACAAGAGAGCCTCGTACTTCGGCACACGATTTTGTCATTCTATGATTATCCAATATTATTTCATAAAGATCATTCGACATTCTTCTGTTTCAAAATTTTTAATTAAAAAATTAAACCCAGTGTATATGTTCTGAAATTGCAATTTCAAAGAAAGAACCGTCATTCCTATTGCAATTTATAGACTAAAAACAAATCTGCTGAAAATATATCTTTCTTTACATTAAAATTACAGAATGACGTCAATGTTAATTCCGAAGACTGACGAGGATTGCGCAAATTGTTTCACGTGAACTTTTCGAGAAATTTCGTCATTTCGTCATTTCGCATTTCATATCAATAGTATGAGCTTTGCACGACAATCAATGAGAATGATGAGTCATTAGATCGTAATCGGCCATGTGTACGGCGTCGTGTGTAAACATCACTGTTGTGCGTAATGATCGCCTGCTGCTTTCATTGTTGACGATTAACGTGAATCTGTGCACGCGTACGAATTACAAAGTAGAGAAGTTTTACATTCGATGAACCGCGATCGCTGAACGACTGTTTACTTGATGAAAACTTGATTGTCGTTAAGACAAGTTGGAATTCGTCGTCGATAATGATATGATTTGTCATCAATAATTGATCGTCAATTAACGACATTGAGATACGGCAAGTAAGATATTAAATGGGCCCTCATATATATCCTTCGACATATTCAAGTGTCACGACAGATATTCGTGGGGAAAAAAAAAGAAAATAATAATAATAAATGCCCGAATCCACCAACGTAAATTAACTTTAATCTCGATTCAACTTACTATTCATCTTTTTCTAGTTCTAAGAAATTAGAGAGTTAAAGTAAATCTACATTGGTGGAATCCGACATAAGAGTCGTTGTACAAAGAGTGAAAAGCTACGAGTAATTTTCCACGAGTTCGAAATCACGTTAGCGATGACATAATTAATGTATATGAAGCGATTTTTCGGACGGTACTTTTTGTTTAACGCGTTCACGCTAATCTATCTAGATGGTTTTACACCACGTGTTATCGGTATTATCGTTATCATCGGGCAGATCTCTTTTTTTAGCGTGAACTCTTGTATATTTACTTTCACAGGATACGCGGCAGAGATAACGACTCAAACGACTCATTACAGTTTCCAATTTATTTATATTACAATTCTGGAGATTACAATTCTTGGAGGGAGGAAGAAATCAATTTTCAACGATGACGATCGAAAGAGATCAAAGTTAAAATTAAACAATTCTACCGGTCCTGTAGACTACCGCGTCACCAAACTTTTATTTGCTTATATAGAAATTACTACTGCGAGAAGACAGAGTTTGAGATCGTTATGCGAATCAAAAATCCATCTCGCCTTATCTAATCAATTTTAAATGGGAGTGTACACAGTCTAAATGCAATCGGTTCTACTTGACTGAGAGATCTCTTGGATGATACACGAATCATCATCAGCTGTAATAAATTTAACGACATTAATGAAGAATGACGAGCATTCCGTTTCAAAGGGACCGCTATTCATAACATTTACCAATGGGCTTAATGCGTAAATCATACCTGGTTATATATAATCGATAACGTAGTCGCTTAGATAAATTTCGTGGGATGTCTTATTACTGACATAAAGTTATACTAATATGCCGTATATCGTGACGACTATAAAAAAAAAGATCAAATATGTCGATAAAAATATATGTCGAATTTTTATTAAAAATTTCTATATCATTTCTTTTTAATAATTTTCCCAAGATTTGATTCTTCATACTTTTATAATTAAGCGACGGATTTTAAAATGTTGTAACAAAACTCAAAAATAATTAAAAAAAAAAAAAAATATAATTATTAATTTCAAGACTATCTGAATTTTAAGAGATCCGAAAATAACTAATTCGATAATATTTTTCTTCTCATCTTTAGTGTCTTATCCTGTTTGATTATTTACGCCCCAACTATGCACACAAATACCTTGTCGTGGCTTCTACGTGTTATGTTAGCAATTAGCTCAGACTGCGTCACAGAACAAATGACTCCTCCTTCCCTCCTCTCTTCCCCCCTCCCCCCTCCTCCGTTTCCTCTTAGTCGATGTTACAAAACCACACGGCCGATTACACTCGGCTTGTACTTCTCTTATCACGCTCAGATTAACGCCGCACCGCGCTCTCGTCAGAGACATCGCCAAGAGAGAACAAATAAAAAGAAAAGTAAACGGGAGGAAAATAAGATAGGCGCCGAAGGAGTCGATGAAGGAACGGTGAAACGCCGCGTCAGATTGTTTCGCTTCAATTCGCGCAAGTGTTTCTAGGAATAAATTTCGTCGCCTACTCGCCAAACCAGCTTAAAGTCAATTGACATCGGACGACATTCTCGTTGCCGTTTAAGCCAACCACCAGTTCTCTTGTGGCCAATGCATAAATTATCCAAACTATCACGTTCGCTTTCCCCCTTCCTGCCCCTCCCCCTCTCGCGCTCTCTTAAAAATCATATGATACATGCTACTTATGTTACTATTGAAAGAGAATCATCTATGACACTTTACGTGCAATAATATGTAGAGCATGTTTCTCTTCTAATTATTTTTACATCTTGCAAGTTTAAATATTGCAAAAATTGTTTAAGCGTGTATATATTTTTTGAGCATTTTATGAAACATTAAATTGTTATTTTTTTTAGGTAGTTATAAAAATAATTACTTAAGATATCTATGCTTTTGACCGAACAAAACGTTTCAAATCGAAAAACAATAAAGGAGAAATAAATGAAGAAAAATTTTAAATAGAAAAAATTAAGGAAACATTTAAATAGAAAAGCAAGAAAAGAGAGGTGAAAAGGGGAAAAGTGAACGTGACAGTTTTGGATAATTTATGCATTGGCTGCAAAAACTGGTTGACTTAAACGAGAATATCGTCCGATGTCAATTTTGTCGAGTTTTCTTCATGTGTACCTGTGCCCGTTACAATTAACAATTTTATGAGAAAAAATTGCGCAAGTACATTTGAATAGTGCATGAACTTGAGTGTGCATTTATTTATAACTGCAGAGCTTTTACATTTCTAGTTGCACATCGTTTACTAAATTGGAGCCAATTATTGTATCAATACGTAAGATTGCATTGTTCGAAAATAATCTCCCATTATCTGAGATCAAGCGTTTGACCTTACAATTACGTCAGCACGATTGTAGGATTATTAGCTAAGGGTTGATTAGTCACCGGAATAAAGTCTAAAAGTAGACATTGCTATAACTTTCCATTACTATTTTAAACGTTCCAAAAACATTTTGGAAACAAAAAATTTTCTGCCGCGTTCATAAGTTGTATCAGTTTAGTTATATTCTTTTTTTATTATTATTAAAAAATTATTAATTATTTTTGGATAAATTTAATTTCTCTCTCTTTTCTTTAAATTTAATAATTATATTTAATTTCGACTTCGTATATTTATAATATAACTCACTACTTAAAAGAATCGTCTTTAAATTCAACTTTATATAATTTATAAAAATTTATAATTAACTGTAACGATAAGTTTCCTCTTATCTAAATCTTTCATCATTATTCAATAATAAGAATTACGTAGTAGTATATAAATCTGCAAGAAATTGCTGTGGCTATCTGCCAAAAATCAAAACTCGCATGTATAACAATGTGTGAAAATTGGCACAATTAATTCAAAATTTTTCACAATGAAAGAACATTGGTAATATAAAAAATTATTATATAAAATATAAAAATTAATAAAATTAACATATAAAATATTTCGAAATCTAATATTAAATATTTTAATTAGACTTTAAAGATAAGCTCTAAAGTTCAAGAAATTAAAATAAAGATTTTGCTGCTTGTTGGATAACTTGAAAATTATATTTCGATTTCAATTTTCAGAAATTTCCGTTACATAAAAATAATGTATAAATCTTGCTGTCGTTTTTCCAAGATACCCCTTATTTACAAGGAAATAATCTCATTCATTGTACACTGATTGCGATATAATTAATGTTGTTGTCTTCAAACTTGCGTAAGTTAATGAAACTTGTTTCAAGTATAATCGGGAGGAGAATGTTGAGTAAGAATTCGATCGTGACGACAATCGGTGATTAATATTTGTGTAAACGCGGAGGGTCGGAAGAATTTTCTGTGTTTGGACGAAATCCAATGGGAGAATCATTGATAAAAGTAACCGACGAGAGCAAAGCACGTTTACTGATAAGTGAGAATGAAGGCCAAGATGCGGAGGATTTATTGGCCCGGATCCAATCCGTTTTATCCGTGACTACACCGCCGAATGCACTCTTGTGCG